TCATCGTCGTCCGGGCGTGCGCGCCGTTTACCTTTTGCGGACCTGGGCGGAGTTGCAGCGCGTTTACGCTTCTTCGACCCAGCCGACCTCTTTCCCCCGAATTGCTCTTCTTCACCACGGCCCGCGATTCCCTCGGCTCGTCCTCGTCAATCTCCATCTCGTTCATGCACCGGAGCCTCCTCCTCACCATTTGAGTCGTCTTTGCAAGGTCCCGGAAGCGTACGCGTGGCTCGGGCGGGATGGTCCCGCGGTTGCGTTGCCGTGGCTGGCAGCAGAATACAAGCCGGTCGGGGCGAGTGGGTTGTACCACTCGCAATCCGGAAGCCTCTCATCGAGGGGCGTGATCCGAGACAGCCTCACCGGGACTCCCTCGGAGTCGACAAGGTTGATCTCGAGGATGGCCGAGAGCAGCATCAGCGGGACGAGTGGAAGCAGCTCGAGAGGCTTGTCCTCCGACCAGCACAGGGTGATCTCCTCCATTGCATCACGCTGTTCCACTCTCTCAGCATGGCTTCTGTCATGGGCAAGACATGTCACTTACCAAGAGGTCCACGAGAGGATCGAGCTGCAGAGTCGGAGGTCAACAACGCGGGAAATACACAGCGGGTATGCAACACTCACAATCTCCTCCAACAGCTTCTCCTCCTCGTCCGGACGAACCATGCGCCCCCCAGCAACGTTACGAGACGTTTGTTTGCCTCCTCCAGATACACGGCGATTTCCGCCGGCGACTTTGCCGTGCGCGGAGGCTCGGGGTTGGCGGATGGTGGGGCGGTGGCGGTGGCAGCGTCGGTCGACATTTTGGGCGAGAGCAAAAGCGAAGCAGAGTGGATGAGATGCGAGGACGGCGCGGCAACAGACAGTGGACGCGGGGTGATGAAAGCAAGAGACAAGCGAGCCGAAGCCACACCGATCGCGAAGATCAACACCGACGGTCACGTGCACACGGCGGGCCGCGGGAAAATTAACCGAACATGAACATCGTGATGGCGCGTCGCGTTGTTGTTGCCTTCCATCATCCAAGATGTCTACACAAGGTACGGTGTATTCCACCCTATGTGTTCTATTGCTGACTACTCCGGATAGGTTCTTCCGCTCGACCCGCAGCAGCAGAGGAAGATTCGGCAGTGCTCGCATTCGGGCCGATGTGGCGTTGGGGCATACGGCAGGATGCTGCGGCTGCTGAATCTCAGGTACGTGGACGTTCAGCCGAAATCCGGTATTACACTAACAACAGGTCGTCTTAGCGGGCGACACAGACAACGGTCAATGCGGATAAGCAAACTCCGGCCGCGGCAGCCGGGGATGTGAAGGTGCCAACCTACCGTGTGCGGCCGGGAGGGTTCAATGTCCCGATGAAGCGCAAGGGCTCGCATGCCCCGCCCGACAATGTACGTAGATTGGTTCATTTACTCTAACACTGATCGACGTGTATGCAGGGCCAATCTCACTCTGCCCGGCGCGAGACGGATCCCGTGGATGGCCGGGAATCATCGCAGGCCCCGAGAAGCGTGTCAAGATTTCGGTGAGTGCGGGTAGTACGGTACTTTGCCAAATTCGTCACGCTAATCCACCCAATAAACCAGCGAACCACCACACAGGTTCTCCCGGCGGACGCGGACAAGGGGGTTGCGATCGGCGCACAGGCAATCCGAGGAGAACAAAGCCTAGATCACGGAATGCAGGTATGTCTTCTCCACGCTACCTTGTTTATTATTTTGTTTTCCACTGTTTTTGTGCTTACTATGATGCCGCACTCCTAGGCGAATCCACCTCCCGCGCAAGTCGCTGCCGTGGGGCCAATCAGGCTCGGACGATGGGGCATCCCTTTCAAGCGCAAACCTGCGGTACGTTATTGGAGCTGGGCTGGTTGCTTTACACTCACAAGGCGTTGCATCAGAGCCTCACCGAGGTATCAATGCCTACGGGTCACTCTGCGTTGTCTCGACAAGTGCCTCTCACGGGAAAGCAAGTGGGACCGAACGTCAAGGGGGGGAAGCAAGTAGTGACTCCGACGTCGTCATTGTCGCTCACACAAAGCCGGCGACGCAAAGCACAAGTGGGGATTCCGACGTGGAGATGGTGGACGAAGGGAACAAATCCCTGAAAGCCGGTGCCACCCAGATGAGCCCGCCCCCGTCCCCGCCTCTACGAACCCTCGCCCACGCCCTCGCGCTCTGAAGGTTGCTCGGCCCGACGTGATTGGCCCCGGTGCGGTGGGTCAGGACAAACCCGATAAGCCCGTCAGTCCAGCGGCGCAATCGGTCAACTTGGGGCACACATCAAGGCCCCGCGTCCAAGCTCATGCCCCGGGTCAAAAGAAACGGGTGTCTCGTCACGGTGCGAACGAGTCTGGCGGGGCTCCGGATCCGACCGTTTTCGAAGACAATGAGGGCGAGGCCTCGGTACGTGTTCATCAGATATTTCGCGACTTATGCTCATTGTAGTCGTCCCAGGCTTCAGAAATTACGCAAGGCATGGAGAACAGCACTGAAGACGGTGAGTGACCTTTGTACACAGCTCTTCGCAGCCTGGTCTTCGGCACTGCCACCATCGTCAGGGGCGTGCTTCGAACCGAATGCCATATGCAGGCCCGGTCAGCGGTGTAGGCTTGGGCGTGCATCCGGACTTTATGACAGCTGAGTGTCAGGTCTGATGACACCATGTTTACAGCGTACCGAGTACACGACGAGACCATGCTGCTTGGCAGGGAAGAAGACCCGTTTTTCACGTTTTCGGTGACAATGACTGATCGTCACGATCCCGCAAATCACTTGTGGGAGGCAGACAGTCACCCTGATGTGGACTGGCCGCCAAACTGTACTGTCGTGTTTTCCAGCGTGCGATTACTTGATTTACTAACATTTCCGTACTCAGTTCCCGGCCCAGCATTTACCGGTGCCACACCCACAAGAGTGGCCGAACTACAAGCGGAGAAGGCCATCATCATGGCTCGCATTGACGCACTGACTGCACTTCAAGCAGCGAACACTCGAAACCACCGCGCTGTTGACTGGGTGACGGAGTACTATCAGGCGCGGAGTCGTTCGGGATAACGGAATAGTCGCAATGCATGTAGTAGTTAGATACGATGCTGTTGAATGCTACCTTCGTCTGTGGTTACACTCACGCCACTGCCCGAAAGAAATTAATTATGAGCCCAGAGTATGAATGGCGAGCCAAGCCAGCATGCTATACGAAAGGCCGGCCGGACCGTTATAACGTCGGGCCGAGCATGCCTAGCCAGCCCGGGAAGGTCCCTACATGCCATACGAGAGGCCGGCCGGACCGTTGTAACGTCGGGCCGAGCATGCCTAGCCAGCCCCGGGAAGGTCCTGCATGCCATACGAGAGGCCGGCCGGACCGTTGTAACGTCGGGCCGAGCAGGCCTAGCAGGCCCCGGGTAGGTCCCTACATGCCATACGAGAGGCCGGCCGGACCGTGTAACGTCGGGCCGAGCAGGCCTAGCCAGCCCCGGGAAGGTCCTGCATGCCATACGAGAGGCCGGCCGGACCGTTGTAACGTCGGGCCGAGCATGCCTAGCCAGCCCCGGGAAGGTCCCTACATGCCATACGAGAGGCCGGCCGGACCGTTGTAACGTCGGGCCGAGCATGCCTAGCCAGCCCCGGGAAGGTCCTGCATGCCATACGAGAGGCCGGCCGGACCGTTATAACGTCGGGCCGAGCAGGCCTAGCCAGCCCCGGGAAGGTCCCTCCATGCTATATGAAAGCCCGGCCGGACCGTCAGGACGAGCCCGGGCTAGGTCATACATGCTATGCGAATGGCCGGCCGGAACGTCTCAGCTGTAGTCTCCATAATCCCCCATGACAACGGCCGCCACGTGTAGCATGGCATTCATGGTACACCGGCCGGGGCGCTGGGAGCGGTCGTGTTGACTCCCCGGCCGGCGCGTTTCACATGAGTAATCGCATTGTACGGCCGAGCCTGCCAGACGGCTCTGGAGACCTATGTATCCTGGACACCCACACCTCCCCTTGTATCTGTTCAGCGCCGGCCGGAACGTTCGCAGCATCGCCAGGCATCACCGGCCGGAACGCTTACAACGCCCGAGTGTTTGCTCCGGTCGGCCTCCGGGCCAACGTTGCAAACGGCCGAATCTCACTCCGGGTTTACCGTTGATAACGGGTTAGACACACTAAATAATGTGGTCGTCAGCGAGGCTTGGAGAACCGAGGACAAGGTCAGTAACCCTGAGGCATCGTTGCGAGATCATTTCTCGGCACATCTCCCCTCCACTCTCAAAACCCCTTCCACCCATGTCACCTCCAATCAGGAAGCAGCGAAATGACCCACCCTCGAACATCGCGCCCGGGGGTACCACACTCCCGAGCTACACAACGCCCACCAATACGCAAGATGGCGGGGCCCGTCCAAGGCGGCTGTCCTCCTTCAATAGGCCAGCCGACGCGTTAGCCTCGGCGGCCGACGCCCATTTCATCAAAACATTGGTATCCGAGTACCCCGCAAATTGTTACAGCATTCACGTATTACTACTGATCCACCATACAAAAGTTGCACCTCGGCTCATGGATCATCGTCCTATTGGCCGAGTCGTCGGCCGCCGTAGGCTACCCCGATGGTGTTCCACGAGACTGCGCGTCGGCCATAGGATGACTATGCGTGAGAAAGAGCTGCTTGGTGTGTCCTGGAAGGCTGAGCACGACTATAGCACGACTCACAGAACGATTGTAGTACGTGTGTGAGTTCAAGTCCAAAGTCGACCGATTGCTTTTCTTGTGTGACTGTGCCACCGGAAAGGGCCTTGTGTCTGTAACCGGGCTTTGGCGTCGAATGTACTCGCAACAAAATTGCGACATACTCTTGCCTCCAGTTTCCAAATGTGCGCTCGGACCATCACCGTAGGTTCGAGGATGAGAACATGAAACACAAAAAGCAAACATCATCCTGTGCCAAGTGGTCGGTCTGCGCCAACTTGAACTTGCGTTGAAATGTGGACTGGCAACGAGAAAAAAAAGAAATGACCGACGCAGGGGTCGAACCTGCAGTCTCTTGATTACGTAAGCATTACATAAGCCGTTGGTCGTAGTCAAACGCGATGCCATTTCGCCAGTCGGCCGATATCGAGATTCATACTAAAACGATTCCAGCAACAATGAAATTGGATTGGGGGGGACCGAAGCTGCAACGATACATCTTTTCGACGTCACTGTAGGCTCCTCCACATCAGCCTTCGGGGTAAAGGGGACGAAATATCGAGTCTGCAAACTGTGCTTTGTGTCCCTATCCTCACCTGACACCCGCCACACCTCAGCCACATCCCATCAAATATATTCTTATTCCCGCCCGAATCTCTGTAATCTTATTCCCCTTTACACGTCACTGGCACTAGTACTGACTCTTGGAAGCTATGTCTGACTTTTGACGTTTACCCTGTCTGCAACGACTGACTCACGAATGAATCAATGACGCGCCTCCGCAAGCAATTGAATCACAAGTTCGTAGGCAACTTGACTCACCGGCAGATAAAGCCGCGCTTGGGCAAACACCAATATATTGCATGTATGTCGTCGTCTCTCTCTGTCGTCAATTCATGAAGATAACTCCGTGACCACTTTGGTACCGCCCTAGAATCTGACCTAGCTCGAGCCCCCATGTCCGGCATCCAGGGCATCGATGGCATATAGGCCAACGTACACATCCTGACAACTGTACGCTTCGCAGTGACGTTTCTCTGGGATAATCGCATTCCGCTTAGCCACAGAGGGCTACACTGACAGTTATCGAGCTGTTATGCAACAGCTATCATGAAGCTACTCTGGCACCGAAGGCGTGTAGACATCGAGGGACCTGAGGTGCTCGCATCATCATTTGGTCCCAAGGGCTCGAGCTCAGCGATGAACGGGATCTTCACATCAAACATCCATCCCTAGAACTTACCCGCCACAGTGTTTACTGATCGGAGGGTACACGTATATCGTTCTTTTGAGCGTTTTGCGTATCGAAAATGTGACTGAATGCATAACCGATTGATGAAAATCAGTAGCACTCTCGGACGTACGGCGACGATCTACTTCACTGGCAGCGTGAGGTGAATACTGCACTCCTGACACCAGCCTAGCCAGCAGTACGTTATCAAAGGATTTTGCCAACTAGACTGTCTGAGAAGCCACGCTGAATAACATCTCCCTTATTGTAATCCAGTAATCAACAAACTGACGCAATGTTGCCAGAGATATCATTCTCTCATACAGAGGCACTGGTGGTCGGTGAAAGTGACGGGCTCGGATTAATGCCGGAGTGCGTGCCATATCGCATTACCATCCGCTAGGTCGCTGGGATGACCTCAATGGTATGTGGTCAGCCGTTTAAGTTGACGTCTTCCGAAACCCCTTCAGGTCGCATAGGATCAATCCTCAATACCGCTCGAAAGTCGAGGGAGCCTTAATGTGGCCGGTAGCCATCCTGAATGTAGTCTGCACCGCACGACAGAGCTTGATCACGGACTGCCTGAGCCCTTCTTTCAACGTGTAATGCTCTGTCCGCTTTGGCCTAGAGCCTTTCCTTTGCGTTGACACCTGTTGACACATCTTTCTACAGATTGTAGCCGACGCATCGCAAGTTCGTCGATTCGCAACCAATCCAAAAATAGCATTGTTCTCCCCCTTGTGAAGACCAGAACACAGCGCAGTTTGGACCGTCTGCATTGGCTTTGACAAGTGTCCCGATCCGCTGGCCGCAGCACGGTGAGCGCCACCATCTCACCTTTGACCGTTTCCAGGGCGATTGGCTTTTGTTCTTGCCCCTGTGGCGTGGTCCCCGGGCCACACTGCTGCCTATAAATCCCCGGTGCTAATTCTTGTGGTTGTCCACCAGCGTCGCTCGACCTTCCCTTGCTTTCCCTGTGCTTGTTCACTACGAACCATCATGAACGCTTGCCATTGCACCCCTGCAGACCACGATTACGAACTTAGGCGGGATATACTCCCTCAGCGTCCTGCCCTTGTGGACGAGAACTTGGCTAGGCAACTGTTCGCCGGGTCATACCCTTCAGTCTTTTTCGGAAGGGGTTTGTCCATCGATGCGCTCAGCCGGACAAATAATTTCGAAGAAATCGCCAATATGATGAGAGATCCTGGCTGGGACAAGCCGTTCGACCAGGTTCGGGTTGGCAATGACCACAAAATACTGGTGAAAGTAAATGTAAGTATCATATTGGAAATGCTCTGCTCGCCAGTCTCTCTGATTTGTTATTCAGTGGCCCGATCACGATCCTCTAGATACGGCACACGGAGAATACGTACCTCTCGAGGCCGCGAACCGTCCTGGAATTCCTTCCACTAAAGCCCAGCTTGCTCTCCTCGTTGGTCAGGTTGTTATGAGGGCGATGGAGGTAAGTGATGCACTCTGTGGGCGAGACGTAATCAAGTGACAGTCCCTCTCGTAGCGAGTCAAAAACAACCGTCCTGGAGACCACCGCTGCTGGGCGGTGAGCACAAATGAAGAAGACGGCCTCACAAAGCGCTGCGTCTACCTGTACGCCATTCACCACGTCGGCGGGTTCACTTATCAACCCGAGCTCCAAGTCTAAGGCTCCAACGATATAATATATATACCATATATATATGGTTTTTACCCTATACTTTATCGTTATATCTACAGGGCCCACAGTATATAGTATATATACTGTATATATACTGTATATGGTATAGCTCCTTCCTAAAATGGCAGTCGGGCATGAGGCTCGCGAGCCAAGGCGCGCGCGCTCATTTCAGCCACTCGGAACCTGGACCCGGACCATCGGGCAGACTCAAGGCACCGCAGTGAAGTTTATGCTATCGTCGAATGACAGGCCTTGGCTGTTGCAGGCAGCGGGCGGGCTGGTCACTGCTCACCCACTCACGAGTCACACTCTACTCGTCGAACTCGCAGTCCCGAAGTCCACATCTCACTGACAGCCTAGCCCTGACTTCTCAGTATGACAGGCTCACAAGAACACGACAACCTCGAGCGAATCGTGCAAGAGATTGTCGAGCTTAGTAAGAAGATTCCAAACTCGGTCGCAGAAGCAACAAAGGATGACAGGATCTACGATGTCATGACCAACATCGACGGCGAGTCTGCATGGGCAACCTTCAATCGAAGGTTCGATATCCTCTTCGGTGAAGACTGCCGCGACGAGAATGGCCGGCTCCACCATGTGCGACGAGGGAGACATGGGATGAACAAGGTTACAAGCTACCTCACCCGGATCATAGTCAACGAGAACTCGTTGAAGGGGTTCTATGCCCCAGCAGCTGTCAAACTCAACAGGCTCAAGGCTGAGCTTGAGATTCTCTGCTCGAATTCGTACGTGGAGAGCTCGTCTCGCAGACGGCATTACATAGGCTTACATGACATAAAGACTCGGATTACCTCAGGAGATTCCCGCATCAAATCAGTTACCTGCCGCTCGCGCAGGTGCCAGTGACGGAGGCACAGTGGAAGCAGGACTCGGAGCAGTGGAGACGACGCAGTCCCCGAGCGCCAGCAATTCGGTAGGCTCGCGCGCCAAGAAAGCAACGGCTGGCGCAGCTGGTAAGCCTCGAAGCTGTAGCTCTCATCATTCCCGGAGAGCTCACCTTCAGATTGTGCAGGACATGCGCAACCGGCATCCTCGACCGCCGCAAAGCCGAAGAAAAAGACTGCCACGACGACAGGCAGTGCACAGCTGCTTTCGAAAGGTATGAAAAAGAAGAAACTCGAGTTTACATGTCACTCACCGTAGAGTCAGAGACGATTCAGGACGACCCACGCGACAAGACGTACAAGGGCGGCGCGGCGCGCGCGAAGTCCATCGATTCAATACCGGAGTACAGCGTCGATGCAGACGGGCATGAGGTCGTACTGTCGGACGCTGACGAACAGCCAGTGAGTATTCAAGGTCCAATCGACCATAACCTGATTGTAACTCACCTGGGATCTTCGCAGCGTCGTCCAGCCAAACGCAAGTTCGTTCTGGACGAGTCGGAGAGCAGCGAGGCCCCAGCGCTGTCCAGCGACTCGGTGATACGCCTCTAGGCTATCTAAGCCCCGAAAACGCAATCTAGGCCTCTACGATGCTCCGAAGCTCTTAGAAGATCCACTACAACTGTTCGAAGATTTCGAAGTTCGTAGCCAACCCTGGCTCACCTTGGAAGACTATCCGCGACCTTCCGGCACCTCAGTGACGCTATAGGAGCACCTACCCACCTATCTAGACGAGCCCAGAATACGCAGGTCACTCGAAGATACACTATGTGTTAGAAGACACTCGAACATGTTAGAAGATGTGCTACGGTGTTAGAAGAACTCCTACAAGACCATAGGATGCTACAGGATGTCCAGTGGGTCCTTGCAGGTCGTCTCACATCCTCGACGAGTGGTCTTGGTTTCCGGTGTCATGTGATAGCCGGTCGGCCTTCGGACCACTGGTTAGCGAGCCCGAGAGCAGTTGTCACGTGTTAGAAGCCATAGCCGGATGTTTGGGGCCGTCGGAGCTCCGTAGTGGTAATAGCCGTGTTTCCCTGTATATACTCTGGGACTGGTTCCCTTCGAATCTGAGAGACCACCTTACCCTCTCAATCTCACCTCGCACCGGCGAGGTTCGTCAGTCAGCCAGTACGTTCGAAGTCAGCAAGTTCGCCAGTCAGTCAGTACGTTCGAAGCCAGTCAGTCAGTTCGCCAGTACGTTCGCCAGCTCGTAGTTGCCCCGAGAGGCTCTACACTTCTTCTCCTGCCGTCGCTCGCCTTCCTTGTCACCGTTCGTTCGACACGTCTGTCGAAACTCCCCCTCCTACCTTCGAGGCTTAGCCCTCGTCTTCGAACAGTCTTCGACGTCTTCGAAGCTCTCCCACGTCGTTCGGAGTCTTGTCCGTCCTCCTCCTTCTTACCTAGACCACTGTACAGTCCCCCGTACATCTCATAGACTCAGAGGCCTCGCATACCACTGCTCGACCTCACGGTTGGGTTTTTGTGTGGCTTTTGTGTTCTTTTCGGTCGCGTCATCTTGGAGCCCACCGCGAGGGGATATAGAGCAAGATTCCGCCGCGTCGGAACTTCGACGTCAACCCTGAAGACTACCGAGACTACGAAAGCCCTCTCCTCGCACTCGCTATCGACAGTTGACTAGGTCCCCGATCAGCCGCCACCTTTCGCAGGCATAGCAACCCTCTCCCAGGACCTTCGACTATCCCCTCTTCGCCCGAAAACGTCGAGCTTGTCCCCGATCACGACGATCCGGAACGCTCCGTTCGAGACCAAGTGCCTACTACCCCATCCCATTCCAGACGTGCTCGAAGACTCTTGCTTGCAGACGACTTAGAGGCACTAGTCTTGGATCCCCTCTACCGCTTCTAACACCATCACCACCTCTCGAAGGAGAGGAACCCACCTCAGCCACAGTCACCACGCGTAGAGATCTTCCACCTCACGTCTACCCATACCACCAGTCGTAGAGTGTCGTCAGTCCCTCCAGGACCAGAGCAGTCCACGCCGTGACGGACTCGACCGTCGACACCCCTAACCCTTCGAACACTTCGACAATACCTTCGAACATTTCAACAATCCCTTCTATCGCTTCGCCAACTCCTTCTAACACTTCGAAGCTGAGTCCGAATATGCCGACGCAGGAGCACCAGCCTCGAAGGCGGCTTCAATGCCTGCACGCGGACACTCCACTGCACCTGTCTTCGACGAGTCAGAACCTTTCTCATTCAACCGCTTTTTCCAAGACCTCGAAACACACTTCGCACGATGCCGAGTTACCGACGACTCCGACAAGAAGTCATGGCAGTTCGCTACCCTCCTATCCGCGTCTCCGACCTATGGATGATGCAGCCAACATTCAAGGATGCTACGAACCCTACGAGGAGTTCGTGACCGCCCTACGAGCACTCTATCCTGGAGCTGATGACGAGCACAAGTACTCGCTCGCTGATCTCGACACGGTCGTCCATGATCGCATAGAACTCGGGATGACCAATGCCCTCCACCTCGCTGCCTACTACCGCGACTTCTACATGATTTCGGAGTACCTGATCGCTCGAGGTTCGCTTTCGACACTCGAACAAGATCGGAAGTTCCAGCAAGGCTTTCCGAATACGCTCTGGGGTCCCATTGAGCAGCGCCTGTTCATGCGGAACCCTGACCGCTCTCGAAGGAAGCCCTGGACGTTCGCAGAGATCTACGAGTCAGCACAGTGGGTGTTAGATGGTCCTACACCAGCTTCGACCTTTCGGCAAGCTAGTCCCCCTATGCCTACGACCACACCCGCTGTGTCTATCCTGCCATCCCCACCTGTGACCACGAAGTCGAAGACCTCCTACCATTGCTACAGACGCTGATCAAGACCCTCGAGGCCCAGCAGTCTCACAGCCGGTCACCCGAATTCTCGAACAGTCGTGACAGCCCTCGGTGCTTCTATGCGGACGTTCGGGATGTTGGATCGGTACTGCGAGATGTTCGAAGAAGACAGGAAGAAGGGCCTGTGTCGACGGAACCCCGATGGCAAGATCGTCTCGTTCGACAACCGCTTCATGAGTCGCCGAGACAGCGAGACCCTCCGAGACGCTATCTACGAACATGCACGTCGTTCGAGCAAGTTAGGACTCAGTTCTCGTCTTCGAGTGGTTCAGGCAGTGCTATGCAAGGCGCTACAGCCACGCAGTTGCTCTATGAAGCAGTCGAGAGTCCGCCTATCCCTACGCATGCCCTCGACATTGGAGAGATGCTAGCCTGCATGGACACCCAGCTATCACGGTTGACGGAGATCTATGCTCGGGAACAGCATAAGCAGACCGTTGTCGACCGAGTTGTCATCGAGAAGCATCCCCTACGCTCGAACACCCACCTGGCTGATCAACCACTACTACCCATGACGTGTTCGAAGTTTTCGGAGCGAGCCCCAAACCGCCTGCATGTTCGAAGACAAGACCAAGTACCCTAGCGCCTGCGCCAGTCGTCCGACCTACCATCGACACCGAGAGTCCCGCTTCCCATCTGCAAATGTTCGAGACATGACCTACGCACCTCCTCCCACCCAACGTTTCGAAGCGACCCTACGAAGTTCGAAGCGAGCCCTCGAAATTTCGAAGCATCTCCCACGAAGCGACAGAGCCGAGCCAGCTTCTTTATAGCACAGCCCCCGCCCCAGCTTGCCGAACTGGCTGTCGAGTCCTCATCGAACACTCCGTGTGTACCATTGACATCTGAGGAGCTTCGAAAATTGCCTTCGTACCTTCGCGACCGATACTGGGCAGCACTGACGCCTCGGACGGCGGAGCGCAAGACGAACCAGGCGTCTACAAACACTGCAGCTATGGAACCACTTTCGAACTACAGCCTTATGATCGAAGACACTTCCCCAGCTGTCACCGTGTTAGGGGACCTTCCGGAGGGCAGCCTTACGTTAGAAGAGACTCCTACGTCTTCGAAGTCTTCAGACATACGACCTACATCTTCGAAATCTTCGGACAGTCGACCTACGTCTCCGAGATTGTCAGATGACCAACCTGCACCTCCGAAATGTTCGGACTATCGACCTATGTCTTTGAAGCCTTTGAACGGTGATCTCCCCACGTCGACGGAATCTTTGAGTGCTCCTACGACATTGGACACTCCTCCTATCTCTCCGAAATGGCCAGATCATGCCCCTACGTCTCCGAAATCTGCGAACGGTCAAGCCATGTCTCCGAGATTTTTGGACTATCAACAGATGTCTTCGAACAATCTCTCTACGCTGATGGAATCCTTGAACACTCCTACGACGTTTGACACCCCTTCTATCCCTTCAGAATTGCAACACCACACTCCTACGTCTCAAGAATCTTCGAACTTTCGAGCTACATCTCTGAGATTGTCAGACCACCATCCCAGGTCTACGAAATCTTCGAAGCCTCTTATGCCATTTCTAGAATCGTTGAACTGTCCCCTCCCATCTCCGGAACCTTCCGACCTTCCTGCTATGCCTCCGAAATCATTGGATGCTTATGCTTACGCTCCAAAAAGTTCGGACTATCTTTCTGCAACTACGACGCCTTTGGATCCTCCTATGATGTCTACCCCCACTCCTTCGATGTTGCCAGACTCTGCTCCTACATCTTCGAAGTTACCGTGCGCTGTGCTACCGCCAAAATCTTCGAACACTCCTACGATGGATGGCCTGTCACCTCCACTGGCTACTATGTTGCCCGAGCATGACGAGCAGCCCATGCTTCCCTCCCCGCCCCGCCCGTCTCTTGTATCTATCTCTGCGCTGACCGAGGATGGTCACAATTTCAGTAAGGGGGAGGATCACCACGACCACTTGGTAGTACCATCACCAGACACGCCTCGAAAGCTAGACCCACACCTCGAAGACGTCGAACATACCCTATTGCTCTCGCAACCAGCAGGTCCACCCAAACACGTGTCGAGAGTCTTCTACATGTGTGTGGTGCTGTTCGTCACTGCCGCACTGTTTTTCGCTTTTGGAGACAATCTATGGCCATGGGATCGACGTGGAGTGCATGAACAACAACTCCGAACGTTCGAAGACACGTACCTAGTCCTACCACCCGACATGGCCCCAGACCCAACAAACCTAATCATTCGTAGAGTGAATACCTTGCAAAGATGCCCGCTGCACCTCGGGGTCGAGCCTGAGCGTTACGAGACAGTCAGGGACCTCGACTTCCTTCGAGACGACCTAGAGCAAGCTCCGAACATGTCAGTCAGGCAGTCACCCAATGCGAAGACAAGACCTCGCTATCACAGCCCATTGGTCGTTCAATCACGCAGCCACGCACGTCACAGTGTACCGCTGGCTAGAGAGAAGGAGAAGGAGTCTACAATGTCCCTAGGAGCCCCCGAACACTTCGAAGATGCATTTGACAAGCTGGATGCAGACAGTGTTTTGTACGAAGACAGCTAGGGTCTTCTACGGTGCTAGACGAGCTGTTCCCGCCGTAGGGGGCAATGATACCACCCAAGCAATCCTTAGTTCACGTCCTACCTCCAATTTCAACCATCCTTCACCTTCTACCGACCCCGGTGGTCCTCTACGAAACAAGCACCCTTCATCTGCTATACCCGCTAACCGAGGACGGTCAGGATTTCAGTAAGGGGGAGATGATACGCCTCTAGGCTATCTAAGCCCCGAAAACGCAATCTAGGCCTCTACGATGCTCCGAAGCTCTTAGAAGATCCACTACAACTGTTCGAAGATTTCGAAGTTCGTAGCCAACCCTGGCTCACCTTAGAAGACTATCCGCGACCTTCCGGCACCTCAGTGACGCTATAGGAGCACCTACCCACCTATCTAGACGACCCCAGAGCACGCAGGTCACTCGAAGATACACTATGTGTTAGAAGACACTCGAACATGTTAGAAGACGTGCTACGGTGTTAGAAGATCTCCTGCGAGACCATAGGATGCTACAGGATGTCCAGTGAGTCCTTGCAGGTCGTCTCACATCCTCGACGAGTGGTCTTGGTTTCCGGCGTCATGTGATAGCCGGTCGGCCTTCGGACCACTGGTTAGCGAGCCCGAGAGCAGTTGTCACGTGTTAGAAGCCATAGCCGGATGTTTGGGGCCGTCGGAGCTCCGTAGTGGTAATAGCCGTGTTTCCCTGTATATACTCTGGGACTGGTTCCCTTCGAATCTCAGAGACCCCCTTACCCTCTCAATCTCACCTCGCACCGGCGAGGTTCGTCAGTCAGCCAGTACGTTCGAAGTCAGCAAGTTCGCCAGTCAGTCAGTACGTTCGAAGTCAGTCAGTCAGTTCGCCAGTACGTTCGCCAGCTCGTAGTAGCCCCGAGAGGCTCTACACTTCTTCTCCTGCCGTCGCTCGCCTTCCTTGTCACCGTTCGTTCGACACGTCTGTCGAAACTTCCCCTCCTACCTTCGAGGCTTAGCCCTCGCCTTCGAACAGTCTTCGACATCTTCGAAGCTCTCCCACGTCGTTCGGAGTCTTGTCCGTCCTCCTCCTTCTTACCTAGACCACTGTATAGTCCCCCGTACATCTCATAGACTCAGAGGCCTCGCATACCACTGCTCGACCTCACGGTTGGGTTTTTGTGTGGCTTTTGTGTTCTTTTCGGTCACGTCAGCGCAGAATCGCATCAACTCCTACCGTGCTCGTCTCGTGGCTCAGGGTTACACCCAGGTCGACGGCATCGACTATTACTCCGACGAGACCTTCGCAGCTGTCTGTAAGCTGACCTCTGTCCGCGCTATCCTCACCATGGCTGCTCGCAAGGGTTGGCACACCCACCAGATCGACGTCAAGAGTGCATACCTCTATGGCAAGCTCAATGACGATGAGCGCATCTACCTCCGTCCACCGCCGTTCATCAAACTCGATGGCCTGAAGCCTGGCCAGCTGATCCGAGCACGTGTCCCAATCTACGGACTGAAGCAAGCCGGTCGTCGCTGGTATGAAGTCCTCAAAGCAACTCTCTTAGGCTTCAAGTTCGTCCGCATCGAGCATGATCACACTGTTTTCGTCCGCCGCCATCCAGACGGCAACATCGACATCATCTTCGTTCACGTCGACGACATGACACTTGTATGCTCACTGCTTGCGAATCTGGTCCGTCTCAAGGCTGAAATCAGCTCGAAACTCGACATCACCGACAACGGCGAACTTCACTGGCTACTCGGCATCGAGATCAAGCGTGACTGGGCACGTCGCACGATCGCCTTATCCCAGCGCGCATACATCGAGTCCATACTTGACCGATATGGGTTCGCTGACGCGAAGCCGCTCTCACAGCCGATGGACACACACACACGCCTGTCGAAGGACCAGTCGCCCGTCACTCCCGAAGATTTCGCACTCATGCGAAACAAACCCTACCGCGAAGCCGCCGGTGCGCTTATGTGGCTCGTCGTCGCGACTCGACCCGATCTCGCTGCGACAGTCGGGCAAATCTGCCAGTACTTGCAGAACCCGGGACTCCACCAGGTGCTGGCAGGCCTATGTATAGGATACCTGTAGTTAGCGCAAAAGGGTGTATACATGAAAGGCCTGTACTTACCGCGGGCCGCTTCTCATACATGAGCCGCCACTCGCTCATGTATAAGCGAGGCGCCGCACTTACTACCCAAAGAGGCAGCTGCCCTTTGGAGACAGCTTAGGTCACCCGGCGCCGGGGCTCGCGGCGGCGGCCCTACCCTAAATAGGTCCTGTCGGGCGCTCTGGGTGCTGTCGCAGGCCCATCGGGCGAATGCGATCGCGATGTGCGATCAGGCGAGATCTGACGGTTTCCGGGGCTAGGTACAGTGCTATATAAAGGGATTGTTTTGGCACCGCCGTGCCTCAATAGTTTATATTGAGATCCAACAGATGGACGGTGTACATGTATGTCGTGCACTATGACATACGTGCTGCACATGTCACACTCCACAACATACCCTTATCATTTCATTCCTCGCGATGCCGAACACTGCATTCACGCGAGAGGCTAAGGAATAAAGCAGCAGCCCTCCTAAATTGGTATGTTTGGGGCCCCGACAAATCATCAGGCCAGCCGAATACAGCGAGCATAAAGGTTCGTTATTCATGATATCGACGATCGACACTATACTAAGCACCAAGGAACAGGCAGACAAGATCGCCTTATACTACACCATCATCACCGTCCCACCCTTCGCTTTCCCATCCGTCGCCTGCAGGTCCACACGATTCGTCCTCCCACATATTGTCTTCCAACCCATCACCCGCAGGATCAGGATCCCATACATCGCCCGCCCTAACCAATGGCTCGCTTGCCACGCGGAGGGCCTGCAATTGCCTTTGCCATGCAGTGGCGAGTCCTGTTGATGCCTGGCCAATGGCGGCCGATGGCTCGTTCACACTGGTTCGTGGGTGGTTTGTGCTCGCCGACCCAGTATCCGACACACTTCTCGACACACCGTCTGACATGCTCGTTGACGCGGCGCCCAACACGTTCGTGGACGCGGTGTCCGACACGCTGTGTAGCTCGGGAGTGGGATACCCCCGGGCGCGATGATGTTCGAGGGGTGGGGTGATCCGTTGCTTCGGGGGTAGAGGTGACATGGGTGGACGGCCCAGTGTACTATGAGAGTGGAGGGGAGACATGCCGGGGAGTGATCTCGCAACGACGCCTCAGGCTCGCCGACCTCGTCCTCGGTTCTCCAAGCCTCGCAAATCCCTCTGTTTCCGACTCGTTCCTTGGACTCTGTCCTGTCTCGACCTTGACCTCGTTCCGAATCTGCCTCACTCTCGCTCTGCAGTCACTACGCTTGCTGAACTCGTTCCGTGGTCGCCTCGTTCTCGTTCCGTGGTCGCCCTCCTCGTTCCGCAGGTTCCTGTGCTCGTTCCGCGAGCTCCTAAGCTAGCCCTGCTGATCCTTGTACTCGTTCCGCGAGCTCCTATGCTCGTTCCGCGAGCTCCTATGCTCGTTCCGCGAGCTCCTATGCTCGTTCCGCGAGTTCCTACGCTCGTTCCGTGAGTTCCTACGCTCGTTCCGCGAGTTCCTACGCTCGTTCCGCGAGCTCCTAAGCAAGTCCTGCTGATCCTTATACTCGTTCCGCGGGGTCCTATGCTCGTTCCGCGAGGTCCTAGGCTCGTTCTGCAAATCCCTGTACTCGTTCCGCGAGTCCTCGTCCCCGATTACGTGGCGCTGCGTTCGTCCGAAAGATTCTTGATAGCCCGAGTAGATCACTGATGACCAACTCGGGGAGATGCCCTCAGCTCCAGAAAATGTGATAAGAATGGATGCGAGCCAGGCTCGCAGCCGTAGATTCGGAGTGGGGAAGAACTAAGGTATGTACATGTTTCGTGGCACTGTATGCCACAAAAGCTGACTAAGAGTCTCTAGTTACTATATATGGTAATCAAAAGCAAATCGCACAAAGTCCATGAAGTACAGTAAGGTGTAGGGTATCGGAGGGAACAAGGAAGGTAGTCCATGTGCTCGGAAGGAACATGACAGTCCAGAGAGCCCAAAATAGGTGAATACACATACTGTCCGGGCCTATGTGGGGGCCACTCCCCACATCTCCCCCATACTCGAATTGTGACCGTCCCCGGTCACCTACTCTCCGCGAGGACCCTGCCTAACCGAGAGCGATCCATTGCGACATGAATGACGCGAGTCCATCTGCTCGACCATTTTCTGTGCCGCACCCCCGAGTCGCGTCAAAACCTCGCGCATGTTCTTCGTCCTCGTCGAGCCAGCCGTAGTTCCGACTCGCCTCGGCAATCGCACCCTCTGCGTCTCCACATGGCAGGTACTGGACAATCCACCGTCCGTTCTTGTCTAGGTGACCGCAGCTGATCAGCTCATCGCCGCCCGCCTCCTCCGGGATACTGTGTTCGGCCAACTCCACAAGTAGACACTCTCCACGTCGAGACCCGTTTGTGTCGTTGATCGCGCCATGCCGCCGACCACCAGATCTGATACCTTCTCTCCGCAGCTCCCCCATACCCGAATTTACACTCTGAGATTGCCCTCGTTCCGTTGAACCCTGCGTAGTGTGATCTCGGGCCGTACCTAACCAGCGCATGAACCCGCTGCGCAGCCGCTGGTCTGCCTCCGCAACTGCCTTCTTCGCTTCGTCGCGCGGAAGGGACTCAATGACCCACTCTCCCTGCTCGTCGAGATGGCAGCAGCTGGTCAGCTCATTATCGCCTGCCTCCTCCGAGATGTTGAGTCCCGCCGACTCCAGCCGTAAGCACTCGCCGAAGCCCAATTTTTCTGCGTCCATTGCGATGTCGAGCTGACCACCACGTCCAGCTTCTCTCCGCAGCGCCCCGGTACTCGGATCCACGCTCTGCGGTCGCTCTCGTTCCGCTGGGCTTTGCATAGTGTGGCCTCGAGTTGCGCCTACTATCCTGCGCGTGGACCCGCCGCGCAGCCGCTGATCTGCTTCTGCAACGCCCTTCTTCGCCTCATCGCGTGGAAGCGACTCAGTGACCCATTGCCCGCGCTCGTCGAGGAGGAAACAGGTGACCAGCTCGTCATCGTAAACCTCTTTCGTCATCCTGAGCTCAGAGAACCCGACAAACAGGCACTCGCCGAGTCCAGGTTCATCCGTGTCGATCGCGCCGTCTCGCCAGCCTCCAGCCCCCGCACTCTTCCAAAGATCCCCTTTACTCAGCTCCGAACTCTGTGGTGCTCGCGTCCCGCGGGTTCTTGCTTCTCGGGCCACCTGGCCCACCTGCTCGTCCAATCTCCCGTTGCGTCAGGTGCTCGGTCCTAGGGTTATCCGGGATCGCTCCCCCAAGTCGCACACGCTCGTGTACCAGGTACTGCGCTAACCATCTGCTCCGCTCGGCGTCCTCGTCAACGGTGCGTGTGTCGTCCTCCGGGGTCCATTCATCTGCCTGCTCAACTTCGCGCAGGGCGGCCTCGGCTTCGAGTCGCTGAATGTACCCCCATAGCCGCCGCCCGTCCTCCGCAATATGCCAGCACGCGACAAGGTCGTCCTCGGGTGCCTCCTCCGGTGTATCGGTGTCGAACTCGCCGAAGTCTCCTAGCAGCCATCCCTCTTCCGGCTCGTCTTTAATCGCGCACTCCTCTGACAAGTGGCCATTTAACGCTGCTGCTGAATCGTCCGCATCACTGTCAGGTCGCAAGGTCCGTAGCAGGTCGACTGGCGAGTCGATGTTCTCGCTGACTTCAGCACAGTTCCCGCCCTCGCACGTACGGTCCAGTGGATCAAATGTACTGTCTTGAGGTTCGTCGCACGTAGCTGTCGCCTGTACTCTGTGCAGCCAAATGGCCTCGTCTCGGTCGCCTTTTCTCGGCCTGAAGCTCGCGCCCTCGTCCGTTTCGCTGACCGTATGCGCAAGCCTGCCCATCCTGCCTCCTTGCCACGGTACATTTGCGTCCACGAGGTATCCGGTCTGCTGACTGCTCGTCCCCTCGTACTTGGAGCGCGCGTCGTCCTTGGTTTCGCTCAACAACTGCTCCCCGGCTGCCATCCGTCTCGGCACCCTCCATGTCTCGCCACGGCCGGTACGTTCATCCGCCCGCTCCCCCATACTCGGCTCAGCACTCGCCTCCTGGTTCGTCTCGCCGCGCGCCTGTACATCCCTGCCTCCCCCGTCTCGTTGCCGCCGTACGCCTGTCATGTCCGCCAAGGGTTCGCTCGGCTGGCAGATCTCGAGCAGGTTGACCTGCAAAACGGCCTCGCCATTGCTGTCCTGCGCGTGCGTGCTCGCTCCCGTACACTCAGTGCGTCCATTCCCTTCCGGCGTGCCAATGCGTGTTGACATCCCAGCTTGACTCCACGGTCTCGCAGCTTCCCGAACCCCGCCATGTCCAGCGTGTTCACCGGCTGGCCCGGGTTCCCCATTACTCAGCTGGATGCTCGCGAGCTGGTTCAAGTCGCCGTGAGCTCGTACGTGCCCCTCTCCCGCCTCTCGTGGCAACGATTGGTCCGTCATATCTGCCCCGGGGAACCCGTTTGGCCGGCTGACTTCGACGAATCCTGCTTGTGGTCCCAGCTCTTGCCCGTCTGACTCCGCGATAGCCTGCACGACATCCCTCGCCACCGTTACGTGTCGTCGCCTTGGTACGTCCGGTGAGCCCACCAGTCCTTCGGCTACCTCGCTGGTCCTGAACGAGTTCACCTGTAGAACCGTCGCCCCATCCCCGTCCTCCGCGCACTCGCTCTCTCTCTCGCACTCTACACGCCTGCTCCCTCCCGATGTGCGTGCTGACGCCTCGGCTAGACCCTGCGATTCTGCCGCCTTAAAGCTCGCGGCCTGGCCCGTACCGTCCCGCACTTGCGCCAACTCGTCCCCCGCAGAGCGCTCCGGAGGTACGTCAATTCGGTCCACACGACCCCCGGTTGACTCGTCCACCTCGGCCAGAGCAACATGATCGCTGACCTGCGTATACTCGGACATTCTCTCCCACTCGGCACACCCATTCTCTCCTGGCTTCTCCACGCGATCCCATGGTCTCATTACCTCCCTCGTCTCGCTACCCTCCGCGTGTTCATCAGCTAGCTCCGGCTCCCCACTACATGGCCGCTTGTTCGCGAACTGGCTCGTATCGCCGTGCGCGTGTGCAAGCTCGTCCACCACGGAACATTTCCGGGGTATGTCTGCTAATTCCATGAGATCTCCAGTGCGCTCACTGACCTCGACCAGGTTCCTCTGCAGAGGCATGACCTCGTTATCGCCATCCTGCATGTACTCGCCCGTTCCCTTGCGCTCGGTCTGAGCGTGCCCGCTTTGCATGTACCGTGGTGTCTCCAAGTCAGTTGGTTCCTGATGTTCGGGCGTAGGGAGAGTCCCGCGATGGCTGATGCACTCGTGAGTCGCCTCCGCCTCCTTGTCAGCTGGTTCCCTGGTTCTTCCGCCACTCGACAAGTACTGCTTGCCATCCTCGGAACGTCCAGCCGTATGGCTCGCCGATAACTGGTCTCGACTCGACGCTGGCTCCCCGTCCTGACATACACGGTCTTCCGACTCGGTCTCGGTTTGCTCTCCGCTCGCCTCCAGGCCTTGCATGTAATGGGCATTCGCGACGGCCTCACCATCGCCTAGCTCGCCACGGCTCGCAGCTTTTGAGAGGTCTGACACCAACCTTCCGCCGTCAGATACTCGCGCTCTGCTCGTCGACTCCTCATGGTCCCCGCCCTGCTCGCTCTCGATACTGATGCGGCCATCTACCACAAGTACACCGCGCCCGACATCCCCGCTCTTCACCTGCGTGCTGACTTGCTGCATCCCTAACTGCTCCGGTTGGCCAGACGTCGGCTCGTCGCACTCCGATGGTGTTCCGGGTTCGACTCGAAGTTCTATCGTCCCAACCACCTCGCCGCACTCGGTGTCCCCTTGAGTCGACTTCGCATCCCTCTTACTCAGTCCGAGACCTCTCCACTCGTTGTCCTCGGCACTGGGAAACCCGACGCTTCCCTCCGCAACGACTGCGGGTTCAACTGCTGCGCACAGCTTGTGATCTGCCTTCTTCCGCCCACACTCTACTTGATCGACCCTCTCTCCCTCCGAGGCCCTGGTTCGCTCTCCCTCGTCGCTTGTTGGGCCGCTCACTTCCGCCTTCGGCGGACACTTGGCCCGCCACTGAGTCGTCTGCCTTCGATTCTCGGAGCTGTACAGGTCCCCGCGTGTGCCATCCACCTCGACTCGCTGGGATACCGTCCGTCGCCTCCTGTAGCGGGTGTCGCCGGATGATGTTGTGCGCGAACAGGCCCCAGTTCGACTCGAGAGACTAGCAGCTCAGTAGTGAACTGCGCAGGCCCTGGTTCGTGCAGTAGAGCGGTTGTCGCCGTCGATCCTCTCTTGCCCAGCTCGGCCTCCTCCAACTGCTCCTTGACGCGGAACTCGGCATGGTCGCCGTCGGCAGTCTTATACCTTGCCTCCGGAAGCCCGGGCGTGCGCCTAGGACTGGTCGCTCTATACGCCCACCTGTCAAGGCCATCCTCGACCCTGGTTCTTTCCGGCTGTCCGCGTCTACGCGTCTCCTCCGCGTGCTGTCGGCGGACATCCCGGCAACTGACTGCCTCGAAAACCCGTCGCACGGCCTCCATGCACGCTCCGACCTGTCCTTGTTCCCTCCGGCCCGCGTCGAAGTCGGTGTTCACTATCCCCCTTCCGGGTCTACCTGCAAACGACCTCCTAACACCGTTCTGCGCGACTGCCGCACTCGCCATCGCACCCGCGAAGGTTCCCTGGGCTCTCGCTCGACCCTCCTTGCTGGTACTACCGTCCGCGCTCCCTCCGCAGTCACATGTTCCTCCTCCGTGGAAGTCTCTCCGCGCCGTCGTGTTCCCTCCGTAGTCTGCTCCCGCAGCTCCACGTCCTCGCCTCGAGCTACAATCTCTCGTCTCTCAGCCTTCAGTGGGTCCTTGAACTCGCCTCGCTGCTTCCAGCAGGGGACATCCTTGAATCCCGCCGTTGTCGCGCTCGCGCTTGCTCGACCCTCACTCCTGTCCGCCGCGCTTCGATCTCCTTCGTTCCTTCCATGCTGGGTGCTTCGCTCGCTTAGCCGTACGTCCGCCCAATCCGCGTCCGCCCGCTCTCGGTCCTGAGCCTCGCCCGCAGTTCCTTCCGCGAGGTGATTATAGGCAATTGCTGTATGTCCCGCACCTCGTCGCGTAAATCTTCCCGTTGACCTGTGTCCGGTCGTCCGCGTTCCTTCCGCTCGCTCCTCCCGTACCTCCCGTTGGCCGACTGGACTTGCAGTCCATTTTCTCGATCCATCCAGAGACTCATCCCGCTCTTGCTGTTTCCTCCGGCGCACCTCCATCCCTGAGCTCGTCCGTGCCGTACCCGCCATTGCTCGGCTGTCCGTTCTCTCGCTCTCGTGCTCGCGTCCCGTTTGACTAGACAGAACATGCTGGCTCGCCGTGACTTCCGAGCGGGCATGGCTTAACTCTCCCGTGGGCGTGATGATTCGACTCGTCCGTCTGTTGTAGGTAGCCCCGCAATAGATGCTTTCACTTCGACCGACCGCGTGACTCGAGCTTGACTTCCTGTACCCGCGTCCTCGATACGTCCCATCATGTCCAGAGGAGGCCTTAACTCCGCATCATGTCGACCCTCACCCACTTCCGATCCTTGTAGACGCCAGCTGCCCTCACCCTCCTCGTGAACCGTCTCCTTCCGCGCAAATTCAATGGCCCAGGCTCGCGAGAACAACGGTCCCGCAAGCCAGCGACTGATCGTGAGGGCGTTGTCGCGGTTTCCAGCTTCTGTCGAGACTCGTCTGAACGTTGACGTTCCTTCCGCGTCCTGCTGCCTTGCCTCCGAGCTACCATTCCGCCCGTACTCAAAGCTCGTCCTTTCCATTTCCGTCGCTAGACTCTCGGTGCTATCCCTCCCATTTCCGCATGCTGTTCGTTCCGACGCAACGTACTGGTGTGAGTCGCGATCCCGGCTCGCCTGCCTCGTCGACTCTTGCGTTGGAACAGGTCCGTGAGTGAACATTCCCTCCTCCTCCGACGAGTTTGCGATCGCCGGGTCCGTCGGCGGACACTTGAGTAGATGCATATCGATCCGCCGACCTGCTGTGTCGCGTTCATTCAGTCGCGAGTCTCGGGTAACTCACTTGTGCCGAGAATCGCCCGTCTCTTTCCCCTCTCAGGTTGTCCTCGCTCATCTGCGCAAGGGTCCACGAACTCGTTCCCACTCTGCGCACCATTGGATCGCTGGCTACGAGCGTTCGCCTTACGTCGATCTGGGTCTGCTGGCTCTTGAACCTCATGTGCCGATCCTTCCGAATCCAATCTTGCAATGAGGTGATCGTCGACGGCTGCAGGGGATGTCGCGCCTGTCCAGAGAGGTCCATGCGCAAAAAGATGACTAGTATTGAGGAAACACAAGCGTCGGCAAAATGAACGCGCCAACTCGGCGACTCGAGCGACCAGCGAGCGCCAGTACGCTGTGCACACTGTGGTTCGGGCGCTTGAGCGATCGTCTTTCGCCGGAGTCCTCTCTCCATCGACTCTGCCTGCGACTGCCTGTGGTCCTCGCTCCGGATCTCGTTGTGTTGTCTCTCTTCCATCGCGATTATGGTCCCTTGTTGAACTCTCGCCACGTCAGCACGCTCCCAGTCGCCGTCCCGTCCATCATCGTCCCGCAGTCTGCCCGGAAGGGGCGCGTCCTTAACTCCGAGCTCGAATGCGCTCGTCGCGTGCTCCTGCACATGCAAGACAGTTCTCGCGGAGGGAGATGAATGTCCGTGGTACGCGTAATCGGTCGAGGACATCCCATAGGTGAGCGTATTGTCAGTCGCTCGAATCACGACCCGTCTGAACCCCTGCGCCTGTCGCTCCTGCTGCTTGCGCATATCAAGCACTTCCGCCATCACGCTATCCCGCCCTACGGTATCTTGCCAGATGCCGAACGCGTGCGTCGCCTCCGTCTGCATGCATGGTGCGCCTCGTGGAGTTGATATGAGGCCCTCGACTCGCGAGGGTGGACAGCTTGTCATCGGACTTCTACCGGTACGTCTGTCCTTTAACGCTGTTGTCGCGACCCGCCTAGTCGCCCGTGACATCTGTTCAGCTTCCTGGTACAGCCGCAGCCAGTCGTTTCCGGTTTTGAAGACTCGTCTTGCCGCCCCCAAGAACTCGCCGACCTCCTTCTGTTCCTTGCTGCACGCGCTAATGGCTGCGCTTGAAGCCTCACCACCCGCAACCCCCTTCTCGTCACGGCCTAGCTCGCCGTCAAAATCCCGGCCTTGCGCAATGCCAGTCGTCGCTAGGTCCTTGCACGCAAACCCCGCCCGCCGTGGGTCTCTCGCCCGTGGTCTTGGCTCGTCTCGCTCGCTCGACGCCCCGCCTGTGCCGCGTCCAGAAGTTCCCATTCTCTCGTCGTTTCTCGTTCGATGTCGCTTACACTCGAGTCCTCATAGGTCCGCACTTGGTCGACTAAATACGGCGCATCCGTTCCTCCTCGACCTCCTCGCGTCGGAGCCAGCACCTCGCTGAACGGGCTCCTGTGTCGGCGACCGACCCCTGCGAGACACGCGTCGCTCCCAGCGACTCCACCGGTGAGTCTAACCTCTGTAATCACTTCTCGCGCCCGTCCTGATCCTCGTGTCTCAGTTCCCGTTCGTTCCTCCGGCCGCGGGTACTCGTCTTCGACGGTGACGATTCGTCTCGGCGCCACCAGCAGATTCCCGACCTCTTCCTCTATCTCTGCGCCGTGGTGGTGCGCCTTGTACTCACGGTGGTTGATCGTGTACGTCTCAGTCGGGGTCTGCACCTTGGCCAATGGTGTCTGCTCGCTCGCCTTCCGTGCGTGCCCCTCTCGCTCTCGCATATCCTTGTATTCGATGCTACTGTCGCTGGTCGCCTCTAACATTTGAATGCCTTGCTCGCATTCTCGGTTACTCGCTGGACTCCAGGACCTGCCGGTTGAACGTTGGCTCTGGCTCTCGTATCCTGACCTCTCTAGCGTCCTGAAGTCGACCTTCACTTGACAGGCCCCGACCCCTGAAGTCGCTCGCGTATCTTCCGTCACGACACGCTCGTATAAGCTGAACTGGCGCAGTGACGTTCGCCCCGCTGAACGCTCTTCCCGCCCTCTGTTCGCCGCTGCAACTCCTTCCGACCTGTGGTCCGGGTGCGCCGTCGCCTGCTCCGAGTTCGTGGGACTAACACTGGTGTCTGAAGATATTGCGTCGCTGGTCCGCGTGGCCTCGATCCTAGCGAGTCTATCTCCCGCGGGCTCGTCGACTCGCTCGAACGTTCTTGCTGTGAGCTGCAATATCTCGAGGAAGAGATCGTCGAGTGGACATGGACTGCTGTCCGACGCGCCCGTTGGTCCCTGTGTCATAGAGCTTGCATTACCCATGTACTCCTCCCAGCTACCTCCTTTATTCATCGCGTGTCGCCTTCCCGAGCTGGCAGATACACCTCCACACGTGCCTCCAGATTGCTCGCGAATGCTTAGATCGTCGGTGCCCGCGTTCGTCTCGGGCCTCGTCATCACAGTGAGGCTCTCGTGCGGGGTAGCTCCTTCGTGTTTCCTCGCCGTAAGACTTGCTACTCCGTTCCAGAACTCGCTAAGCGTGAGTGAGCAGTCTCGGTGAACATGCGAGCGTACGGTGACGTGGGCACCCGAGTCGGCCGTCCTGCCAATACCGCGAGAGGCGTCCTCGACTAAGTTGCTGCCGGAAGCTCGCTCCTGTACATGTGTCGTCGTCCCCAGCCTCTGTCCGCCTGCGACAACGCTCGTGTGTGCAGCTGGTCGAGCCTCGTGGACGCTGCGGTTCCGCACCTCCGCGGAAGGCTGGGCGAAGGTGCCGCCTGCAATGAATGTGTGCGTCGCGAGACGAGCGTCGCCTGCATGTGCTGTGACTGGCTCGAAGATCACAGTCGCACGTCCCGTAGCTCGCTCGTAAGTCTCGGTTGCAAATGTCGAGGCGGTGAAAAGGCTGTCGGGTCCATGCGTGCGGTCGTCTCGAGTAGTTGCCGTCTCTGTGGCCCAGCTCAGAGGTACTGTCGTGCCTGTTGATCTCGCGACCACGTCCGCTGAGTCGCGCACCGGTGTGGATTCCGCATGCACTGTAACGGTGGACTGGTAATGGAGGGAGTAAACGTTGGCTCGCCTGTACACAGTCCCCGTAGTGACCCTGGCCGTCTCTGGATCGCGCGCAAGTCCAAGTCGTTCCACATGTGATGTACTCGTAGTAGATGGGGAATGAATGGATTGGATTGTGTATGCTTGCCTATGCTGTGGGTGCGATGACGCGAAGCCGTAGGCGGAGCGGAAGAAGCACGAATAGGGTGCCACCCCTCGCGGTGGGCTCCAGTTGTGTAGCTCGGGAGTGGGATACCCCCGGGCGCGATGATGTTCGAGGGGTGGGGTGATCCGTTGCTTCGGGGGTAGAGGTGACATGGGTGGACGGCCCAGTGTACTATGAGAGTGGAGGGGAGACATGCCGGGGAGTGATCTCGCAACGACGCCTCAGGCTCGCCGACCTCGTCCTCGGTTCTCCAAGCCTCGCAAATCCCTCTGTTTCCGACTCGTTCCTTGGACTCTGTCCTGTCTCGACCTTGACCTCGTTCCGAATCTGCCTCACTCTCGCTCTGCAGTCACTACGCTTGCTGAACTCGTTCCGTGGTCGCCTCGTTCTCGTTCCGTGGTCGCCCTCCTCGTTCCGCAGGTTCCTGTGCTCGTTCCGCGAGCTCCTAAGCTAGCCCTGCTGATCCTTGTACTCGTTCCGCGAGCTCCTATGCTCGTTCCGCGAGCTCCTATGCTCGTTCCGCGAGCTCCTATGCTCGTTCCGCGAGTTCCTACGCTCGTTCCGTGAGTTCCTACGCTCGTTCCGCGAGTTCCTACGCTCGTTCCGCGAGCTCCTAAGCAAGTCCTGCTGATCCTTATACTCGTTCCGCGGGGTCCTATGCTCGTTCCGCGAGGTCCTAGGCTCGTTCTGCAAATCCCTGTACTCGTTCCGCGAGTCCTCGTCCCCGATTACGTGGCGCTGCGTTCGTCCAAAAGATTCTTGATAGCCCGAGTAGATCACTGATGACCAACTCGGGGAGATGCCCTCAGCTCCAGAAAATGTGATAAGAATGGATGCGAGCCAGGCTCGCAGCCGTAGATTCGGAGTGGGGAAGAACTAAGGTATGTACATGTCTTCGTGGCACTGTATGCCACAAAAGCTGACTAAGAGTCTCTAGTTACTATATATGGTAATCAAAAGCAAATCGCACAAAGTCCATGAAGTACAGTAAGGTGTAGGGTATCGGAGGGAACAAGGAAGGTAGTCCATGTGCTCGGAAGGAACATGACAGTCCAGAGAGCCCAAAATAGGTGAATACACATACTGTCCGGGCCTATGTGGGGGCCACTCCCCACAACGCTTCTCGACGCGTGGTTCGCGCTCGTCGCTGCGCTGTTTGTGCCCGTCGACACGTTCATGCCTGGCGGTTGCACAGCGCCCGCAGGCTGGGACGTGTCGGGCGTGGCCAAGACTCCATCTCCGTACATTAGCTCCATCGCATTCGTCACCCATGTACCTATGTCTTGCCATGTGCGCGCGCAGATCGATCGCAGGGTCGTGCGGATTTCGGCCTGGCGAAGTGCATAAGCTGACAATCCTTCCTGAACCTCGACAGGTAAATCTTGACGGGCGTCGTGCCTTCCGAGCCACCGTTGCGCCATCCACTGGTGATAGGCGAGGACGCGACGCATCTCCTCGACCAGCAGGTGTACTTCTTCTTCCCAGCGGTGTGCCCTTGCGCGGGACTTGCACCATTCCACACGCAATGCTAGGTATGTGATTCAGCACCTCATCATAGTGGAACAGACCATACACACCTTCTTGCAGGTGAGGGTCGTCAGCGTTCTCGGGCCCCGCGAGTGGCGTTGTGCGCCATATCCAGGACAGCGTGCGGCGACCCTCCGTCTCCTCGCTTTCGTCCAGCTTCAGCCCTCGGACGTGCTGATCCTCGAGGACTTGAAGTGTGGCTTCCCAGCCAGTTCTCCCAAGTCGGTCCGACAGCGAGACCAACGCTGCACGCGCACGCCGATACCGCTCGGCGTTCTCGTCAACCTTGGCCTGTGTCGTGTTGATGATCGACCGCGCACGAGTGTTCGCCTGTTGACCTCGGATGAATCGATCTTTGAACGAGTAGAGGTGGCTTCGGAGGTGGAGATGGCGCCGTAAGTCCGAGAGCGCGTCGTGGGCTTGAGCATGGCGCAGTCGCCACTCGATGTCTTGCAAGAAAGCGGAGACCTCCAGGGCCGAGCTGATCCCTGATGGGAGGAGTACAGGGATGTCATATGCAGGTACGTCCTTGTTCGTGTCGCGTACTAGACGTTCGCGGAAGGCCTCGGCACCCGGAATGTACGCGTGCTGAATCTTGAACCATGCCTCTAGTCTCCGACGGAGACTGTTGAGTCGCTCTTGGATGGTAGCATGCTGTTTGTCAGTGCTATGCTCCCCGAGTCCTCGAAATTCCCGACGAAGGCGACATCTGCATCAGGGAGTCGTGCATCAGGGAGTCGTAAGGATGGTGGGGAGCAACACTGTATACTTACTGCAAGTTCTCAAGATCAAGCCCAGCCGCGAGCATGATACTCGGTGACATGCTCGCGTGGTATGACAAGTCGTGTCCGGCCTGTAAGCGTGCCGCTTCCTCCTCGGCGAGCTGGCGGCGTACTGCTGCGACGGTGACCACTTGAGTTCATGTTAGCAGAGACAATGGCGAGACAAACATACGTCACGCACCGGGTTCCGTAGTTACGAAAGGATTCTCGAAGTTGGCAGGGTCAATCTCCCACTTTTCGACTAGCTCAGTCCATGCGCGCACACTCTCGAGCGGCAACGTCTCCCCGAACTCCTCGAATGCATGTCGTAGGGTACACATATGCTCAAGGGCCTCCTCCAGTTTCCTACAAAGTGTCGGACCTGTGATGTAGCACACTGTTAGGACCGCCGCGCGCGATTGAAGGTTGATGCAAGTACCAAGCTTCCGGACCTTCCCCCAGTTGTAATTCCCAAACACGTCGTCCAAGACGTCGCGTCGATGGCCAGGACCCATTTCTTTCGTGGAAGACGCGAACGGGTTCACGGCGGCCCAGCCTCGTTCGACCGCCTCGCCGTCGGTGCGCCCCACGCCTTTCGTGTAGTTGAAGGAGTACGCCGTTTGACAGGCGAGGCGGTGCGCATTGAGGTGGTGCTTCGGCATGAGGAAGAGATACTTGCATTGGATACGATCGAACTGGAGGCCGTAGAGTTCCTGGCGGGCGGGCAAGTTCCGGCTCCACTGGCAGGAGATATCGTACGACGTCACCACCTCGACGGTGCAGTGATGCGTGAGGCTCGAAAAATAGAGATAGTCCATGTTGACATAGCTGCAGGCAGGTTAGCGAGCAGTAATATTTGATATGATGTTTGGCTTACCGTTCGCCATATTGTAGATCGCCGACAGAGGCGGGCCGCTTCATGTCGTGTCGAACACATTCGACAGTAGCCACGCCACTTGCGTCCGTCTCACGAATCTTCTTGATGTTGGCAAGTTTGACGGCATCATGGTTGTGGCATGTATTTGTCTCTGGGGGTAGCTTCGTGTCGAAAGTATTCAAGAAGGCCTTGTAGGTGTGGTCCTCGACGAAGTACGCAAAGCCTTGGTTGAGGCCAGGGTCGACAGCTACGCTGGAGACCTTCTTGCGTTTGAGGCGGAAATTCGCGTCGAGGCCGACGAACAAGCGATAGAGCCATCTGAATGGAGGTCAACACAGGAGGTGCGCGAGGGACAGTATTCTACTTACTTCTCTCCCTCGGGTGCCTCCTTCCAATTATCGGGTAGATTCTTGCCCGGGTGAGGGCACGCCGGGCATTCCACCGCGCATTCCCCTCGTGCGGTTCCGCCGACGCCGGAGACGTCATGTCCACGGCCTGCTCGCTTGAGCATTTTCAAGTGGCTCCAAGCCCGCGACATGCGTAGAAACGCGGGATAACGATCCTGTGCAGAGGGCGGTTAGTGTCTCCTGTCAGTGGACGATGGAAGGGCACATACTGTGGATTCTCGTGGTGCCACATTCTCTGTCCGTCGCGCGAGCGTGTGATAGAATTCGTAGGCGGAGATCTTGGACTGAGTGCGCAGGAGGTGGAAGAGTTCCATCAGTGCAAACGTGGCGGCGGTCTTGGGATTCGTGACCGTCGCAGGGAACAACCGCGCACGCATGAGTTGGTTGGGCAGGTGTACCTTCCGATGACAGTTGCAGAAATCGAGCGCGACGTGGTGGATACCACTGACGTCGAGGATTACGAAGTCGTCGTCGAAGGCCGGTTTGGGGTTCGGGCAGCGTTGACCTGACGGGTGGCCCATTTGCATACTCACGCCGAGGCTCTTGAGGTTCGCGTGCTGAAAGTGGGCTTCGGCCCAGCGCTGGGCAAAGGATTTAGTCACGAAACATGGCTTGCCTGGGAAGATATCACCTTGATCCGATGGAGAGGCAAACGCATATGCCTGCCGGCTGTGCAATCCGCACAATAGAGCTGTAGATCTGCGCAGTCTTCACAGCGGTACTCTGCAATCCCATCGTGGCATGTCGGGCACTGCGTATCCGTGAAGCCCGCGCGACCTTCGAGCCTCAATAGCTCCATGAGCCATTCGTCAACCCTGGCGCGCCACTCCAACAACGGATGATCCTGTGCAATCAGAGGTTAGCCACGCTCACATTTCACTGTGTGGAGTCGACGTACACTAGTGGTCCGTCGTCGTCTACGAGCCTCGGCCTCAGCCGTGTCCGCCTCCGTGATGGCGTACACATGCGCCTCATCTCCATCCTCGCGAATCAGATCAGGGGCGTCGCCGGGGTCTTGAGATGTTGCATCGGAATGCTGCGGTAAGGTGATGAAAGTAATCTGGGAGTTATAGCCCTGGGGCCCGGACACGAACGCTGTGTGCCGAGCCGTCTCCATTACGGACTGCGTGGCATCGGGTTCCTCTTCAGCAACCGCATGGAGTTGGAAGGCGGTTCGTTGTCGTTTGCGTGCGCCAGGCATGATGCGGGAAAGGCAGCGCGAAACACAGTAGGCACGAGGGGCGGGAACCGACGGCAATGTGGGGACGCGGGAGGCTTTGCCAGGCCGGGTATGGGCCTGTCAACAACAGACCCAAAATGAGACATGAACGACACAAATCTCGAGCGAGGAAGAAGGTCAGCTCACCGCATGGCCCAGGCTTGTGGTCAGCCTAAAATTGTCTCCGCTGTCCAAAGGAGGGAAGCACAAGTGTCGTTTGAGTCCGGTCGATACACGCAGCCGAACTACGCGTGGTGGCTGTCGTCTGATTCGAGCTCGATGCCGCGGGCAACCAGGCATGTCATGCACGTCGCGAGGAATGCAGGCACCGCGGATCCGTCGACGACAGCGAAGCCTACAAGGACGACGTGGAGATCACGCCGCCGCCATTATCCTCGTCATCAGCGGGTCCCGACCCGAAGGTATGAAGACTCACCGGTGCTGCCATGACAGACCCATCGCACGCACAGCGCAGGGCGGTGTTCGTCGTCGTTCAGGCCGACAGCGACGATGCACAGGGTTATCAGAGTGGGAGGCATAGCTTGGGCGTAGCAAAGACGGGAGAGGCGCGCAAACGAGCAGGCGTCACACGTGAGGGATAACGCATGGCCAGATCAGGGAATACGCCACCAGATGTGGCCCCGATGTAGCTGAGCGACCTGCCGGATGGTCGCTCAGCCAATGGGGGGTCGTTTAAAGGTCCACTGAAGGTTGCGACAAATGCAAACATAACGCTGTGCGTTGAACGCATGCTTCGTTGGCTTACCTAGATGTGCAAGCTTGTTCTAGGCATCAACCTGGTCACGTACATACTAAATTAGTGTACACGCCTCGACATGGTCTTCACACTCGCGCACAGTACCAACGAGAGGGTAGTGCAGCACTGCTACTTACTCGCATTCTGTGCAAGTAGCCATGCAGTACTGTCCGTCCATTGTCAACATTTTCTGTTTATGGTAGGCCTTCTCTCTCCTCCGGTAAACATCATGCTCACCCCATTAACTGAGAACGACGGTATTCGTAGAATCATTCACTTGTGTAATTAGTCTGTGACTATATTCATACATTGCCAGGCTAATCCTCCCTCGACTTCCAGCTCTTCGAGCCGCACGACGCCTGCACGAATGGTCTCCACCTCCTTTGCTAAACAGCATATGTGTTTCGCACCCCAGTGTAAGTACACATCGCGGGCGATGTTCGCATATACTGTACGATCCACCACCACATTAGCCTGCGCCGTGAACTCCCAAGCCCGAAGCCTCTCCTTCACTTCGCTCTCCAATGCAGACACAAGGTCGGCCATCCCAGCCCTGCCCACGGCTTTCCTCTCCTTCATCCTCTGAAAGCCCGTCTCGACCATGAACCCCAATTGCCTGCCATTGAGCTCGCGCAGAGCTCGCTCAGCAGCCAAGACGCTACCTCCTTCACCACTCTCCTGCAGTACGTCGTGCTCTGGGGCCAACCACTTGAATGGTCTCTCATGAAGGCCAAGGTCACTCGTATCCAAGCCCTCTACAGGCCCAAGCGATTTGAACGGCTCGCGAGCCAGTACTAGCACTTGCGGCGGCAGGGTCGACGGGTCCCAGCCGAGAAAAGGGCTCGGAAAGAACTCCTTTTTCCTTGTATAGGCTCTGTCGTTGCAGCGAGAACGTGATTGCTTTCCGCTGACGGCCGCCATGAGCCGCCGAAGTGTGGACGAGGTAGTGCAGGCAACTCACGCAACTGTCCCGTCATACCTCTTTCGCGCCATGTTTTTCGCTGCCTTCCTCTCGGCGTCAGTGTAGTACTTCGCGCGTCGACCCATAGCGTCGCTGGAGGTTGAAGCTAAGGGGAAGTGATGAGTCGGTGCAAGTATCAATCGAGTTCAACGTTATTTGATTACATGCGCGCGTGACTCGGAAGAGCCGTTCGGTACATCGACGGACATCAAGATAGGCTACGATCGCGGGGAAACAGGCAGCAATGACAAGCACTTGAGCAGAGTAAGAAAGGCGTATGCACACACGGTCACTCGCGGAAGGAAGAATCGAAAGCGGAATGGTAGGCACTGATCGGGCCCGGTTGCACCTTTACATCGCCTCGATCCTCTGCCCTTTTGAACGCAGCCACCGCCTCGTCGTAGCTGCGGTAACCTTTGTGGCACGCCTCGGACACGCCGTTCACATAGCCCGAAGCCTGCTCCCTGGGCGGCGCAATCAGACAGGGGAGACGATGTGTTGAGACCAACTAACCAGTCGCTGAAAACGCCCACCCTAGTGCCCTTGCTAACTACGTACCACTTTCCCTTCCGAGGACTGTAGTCTTCAATGACACGTGTCTGTTCCTTCGGCCTGCGTCGCGAAGGTGCAGCGGAAAGGAAAGGGGTCCCATATGGAAGTGGGTACATAGGAGGCAGGGGCGGGATGAAGCGTGGCCGAGTCGCGACAGGGGAGCTGTGGCCAGTGCCCTCCGAGGGAACGGGTGGTGGCGGGGTTGGCAAAGGTCGGCGACGGGGTGTGCGCTGAAGAGTATGGCCCACCTGGGCCGAGGACACCAGAGGAAGGGCGGCGCGGAGCTCGTCGAGGTTGTTGAGAGGCGTGGGCGCACTCAGAGGTCTGGGACGCACTGTCTCTGCAAGTGCATTAGCTAAGCCAATGAGCATGTGACCGACCCAGAACTTACTACCCTGAGTCAACGCTGCTAGTCTGCGCTTCGGGACAGGGATGCGCGACGCAGGGCTCTCAGACGATGCGCCTGAGGGCACAGAGCCCGCTGGCGTCGTCGTCGTTGAGGTGGCCGGGATGTGCATCGCGTCCACGATGCCTGTCACCACTCGGTCCTTTTCACCTCGCGCGGCTTCAGGCGCTCCCTTGAACTCAACGTTCATGTGGCACGACGACTTCCCTTTCCTCACTCGATTCCTGCCTGTCGACTCGCCCTTCTTCTCGCTCCCTCGCCCTCCGCAATGCATCGGTCGCATGGCCGATAAGCATTGCGGGGTCTCTTCGTTACTCAACCCGGATGATACCTGTCAATGCCGGCGTCAACGTTATGCAAAAAATTCCAGTCACCACCGCCTTTCATGTATGGGATATCCCCCAAACCCTCTAGACCGGTCACCCGGTACGTGTGCTGGACATAGAGCGGGGCGCCCTCGCTGACTGATGTTCACGCGACAGATATGCCGCCAAAGTCGTGGGCGACGCCCGAGCAACTGCAATTTTTCAAGGAGAGAATTCAAGGCTTTCTCGCTGCGCAGAAGGCCAACAAGGTCTCGCAGTTTATGACGGAGACGGAGAGCGAATTCTTTGAGAAATGGCCAGAGCTGACGAAGATGTACGGGCCAGACGTTGCGCTAGACGACCTCACTGAGGAGCAGATGACCAAATACGGTGCCGCCCTGCAAAAGCGGAAGGATGTACGTGGCCATTCTGCTGCCGCCTCGTGGTACTGACTCATCTTTCGCAGCAAATGCGCTCCAAATTCTACAATGACGCGTACGCGACGCGCCGCGACACGCCAAAGGCCCTGACGCTAGCGGCCCTCCTCCCGGCCGCCCCACCTCCAGCCAAACGCGCGCCGCAGCGTCTAGAAGCGTACTCAAAACTTTACTACCAAGACAAGGTGAAGGCCTCGGTCGCCGATGCAACCAAGGACGAAGACGTTCCGGAGGCCCGAAACATCAACATAGTTCATCGCGAACTAGCATCGGCCTTCAGCCTGGAACCTCCGGAGGTTCAGGCCGAAGTCCAAAGTTACATACAACAGCAGAAGGCAGCCATCGAACTGGCCAAAAAGGCGGCGGCCACGATGCCATCACTCGCCAATCGCACTCCGGAGGAATACAATAGGTATCTTACGTTCTCGTTCTTGCCTCTGGGAGACGCTGACACGCTATTGCTTCGCAGCGCGATCAAAGAACTACCTCAATTTCTAGGACCACTACTCAAGGTGGCTTCGGAGTTGACGGGCCTCTCCATCAGTTGTTACGGGGGAGGGCCCTGGCCGGAGGAAGGTGGGGCGCTGCAGACCTTCAGGTGAGTCCTCTCTGACTCTCGGATACCGACGAGTTTACTGATAGTCTTGCTTCTCTAGCTTCCATATCGGCAAGACGGCAGCTGGCCACGATTTTGCTGCTACATATGCAGGCCACGAGAAGTATGTGATGCAACCCTTCGGGAAGTTCCTTAATGCGAAATATCGTGAGTCCATTGTCAATCCTTTCGTTGCACCTTCTGACATGACTTCTAGCCCCCGCTGAACGTGCGCGTCGAGCGCTACCTAGTGGCTCGCGAAGTCCTCTCGTGTCTGCCGACAGCGCGCAGGTGACGACCCAGCCCGCGGCCCCAGTACTATCCCCCTAGCTCCTCCTGCTGATATTGTCCCCGCTCCCGCTGTTGTCCCTCCTGCGGCCGACATCACCGCGCCTCGTTCTGAGGTCGTCTCTACGGCCGCCGACGTCGCGGTTCCTCCTGGCCAAGTCGTGGCTCCTTCTCCTGTTGCCGAGTCGATGGGGACCATGTCCGTGGTGCCTGAACCAAACGCGCCCGAGCTTGTGCTGCTATCAGGTGGCGCAGGTGCCGGCATTCTCCCAGCGTCTGATTCCTCAACCCCTGGGCTCGAGAACATCGACATCAGCTTCATGCCCATCCCCGTCGTTCTTCCGACCACGCTGATGACATCCGCGATGGGCTCGAGCACCTTGGCCGCCGACGATGACATCTTTACGGCCGAGAACATTGCACGTTACCTGCCCGCACCCACCATCAACAACGTCGTCTTCCCGGAGTTCAATCCCTTACCTTCTACTGTGCAGTCACTGCCCCGAGCGTGGGCCCTTCGACGCGCCATATCGTTTCGCGTCTAGCCCGCCACCTGCTCTTCCGTTTGACCCATCACTGTGGCTACCCTCGCAATCTTCGAACGTGTCCTACATGGACAAGCCGAATACCATTGATGTCCAGGACCCTCTCGCGTCTTTCCCGTTCCCACCGGACACATCGTCGACATTCGAGTCTGCGAGTGCCTCAAGCACAGCGTTCACCTTCAACTTTGACTCGATCGGTGTGCCATCACAGCCCACCGCCCAACCCTCTGTCTCTATGTCCGTGGCGCCTGCCTCGGCCGTGAACGCACAGGATGGTTCCTTGCGTGAAGACACTTCCACCTCGACACCAGAGCTCACGCCGCCGCTGGCTGCGACCGCGTCGGTGACCTCCCCGCCGGCGACACCCACGTCTACCTCGGTCGCTGCTATGTCTGAGTCGATGCCATCGCCTGAAGCAATGTCGGTATCGATGTCTACGGCTACACCAGTAATTACTGTGTCCGCCACGCCCGACCAAACGTCTTCGCGTAGCCCATTAACGGATGCGATGCAGCAGTCTACTCATGGGGGACGACCGCGCCGAGACCGGACAGCTCCCAAGCCTGCGGACGCTGATTGGCAGCCGCCCAGTGCGCGCGGCAAGGAGAGTCACGGCCCTGCGACAGCTGTAAAGGTGGGAAAGCAAAAGGCAAATGAAGCTCTGGCTGAGAAGGCCTCGAAGCGTCCACGTACAGTCTGAACGCCGTGTCATGGTTTCCATGTCGGCGCGCGCAACAATATCTTGAGCACTGCTGTTCTGTATGATATACTCGAATACTGAATGCCTCCTCGTCGCTACGCAGTCTGTACTCCGCTATCCTTACCTGTGTCTCGCTATTGTGCTTTGACAAATCAATATTGCATGTCTTTCATTGTGACATAAGCCCGAGCTTCAAACCTGTCAGAGTTGTCGTAGCACACGAAAGAACATTACATGAATAGCAAACTAGTTTGCCCTGCTCGTCGACGTACAGCTACTTACAACTTAGAATATCCATGACGGCGGGCGCCTATGCTACGGACTTCATGCTGGGCGAGCACGTCTGTGCACGTGGTTGCCTGTGCTGTCGGGCTGTCTGCTTTGAGACTCCAGGCACAGGGAAGGTACAAGATCGTACCTAATCTGAGATGCGCTGACAGTAGCCCCGATGCTGCATCCATATGGGGCAGCCCCAGATCGCGCGCCGGTGGCTGCGGACGAAGGGGCCGGGTTCGGTACAGATATGGTAAGGGCCACGGGATACCCCGGCGTGGCTGCTAAAACGGGTAACGACCGACGGCGCCTCGTTCATACATGACGGCGTCTCGTTCATACATGGCGGCGCCTCGCTTATACATGAGCGAGTGGCGGCTCATGTATGAGAAGCGGCCCGCGGTAAGTACAGGCCTTTCATGTATACACCCTTCTGCGCTAACTACAGGTATTCTATACATGTATATGCCTGTATAGCCTGGGGACTCGCACACTGGAATGCTCTCAAACGGGCTTACCAGTACCTCAAGGGTACGAAGGACCTCTGGTTGGTTCTCGGAGGGACTGGAGACGACGAGGTAGTGGGTTATTCGGATGCAGATGGTGGGAGCACGGAGGGCAGTACGGTTGCCCGATAGTCCGGGGCCTGGCATTTTGCACGACGCGCCTCAGCCACATCGCGTCGCTCGTCCTCCGCCTCCTCCATATCCTCTGGAACTCATGTAATACTCACTCTGCAGCCCCAAAAGCATTCCTACTGCACCGAACGCACTGGGGACGTCAAAAAAGAGGTGCCGGCAAGTCCATACTGGTCTGGAAACTCGAGAAAGCTCGACGACCCCGGGAAGTGGTAAGTGCCCGACAGTGCCGCGACTCGCTCGAACTTGGATGCACAAGCTGGAGGCTACCTACACCCCCTTTCCGGATATACTATGGGTGTAATAAGAGGGGTGCTTTCATGGGCACAGGATATATTGTATGCAAATTGTATGGTGAGCTATTCACATAACTTCAATATGTACTTCAAGGCTGCGCGTGCGACTCGAATCGGACAGCATTGCAAGACAAGTGACTGATCTGCGAAGTCCACCGCCATTCTAAGCATGATGAGGTGTCCAGAGTCGGAGAAGCAATGGTGCTTTCATGGCTACGTATTGACGTGACAGGTGAGTGATAGTATGCCCTCGTCTTGTATGGTGCTGCGGGCGTTCGTGTATATCAATAGAACCACAAATATATATCTGGTGTCCCGCAGTGTACGTCTGCCTATGTGTATGTCACCCTACAGTATCGCTCCGCTGCAGATTTGGCCAGACATAGCATGTGGGCCGGATACCTACATCGAGAGTCTTGGAAGGTCTTACAGCATTTTCACTGGGCCTGCCGTACGCTCAGGATTGCGGTATCAGTAATGAGTATCGTATCATCCTAGAAATGTTAAGCTGCGCACCTGTTCAACATCTCACAAGCTTGTAAAAAAAGCCATGCATCATATGTAGTTGTATCCTCCAGCTTGTGCATCCAAGTTCGAGCGAGTCGCGGCACTGTCGGGCGCTTACCACTTCCCGGGGTCGTCGAGCTTTCTTGAGTTTCCAGACCAGTATGGACTTGCCGGCACCTCTTTTTTGACGTCCCCAGTGCGTTCGGTGCAGTAGGAATGCTTTTGGGGCTGCAGAGTGAGTATTACATGAGTTCCAGAGGATATGGAAGAGGCGGAGGACGAGCGACGCGATGTGGCTGAGGCGCGTCGTGCAAAATGCCAGGCCCCGGACTATCGGGCAACCGTAGGGCAGGCATGCAATTTCGGGGTACGTCTTTATGCTCAACGGTGGCGTGGTTTCGTGGTCCTCGAAACGCCAGGAGCTTGTCACGCTCTCGACGACCGAGGCTGAATACGTCGCGCTCACGCACGCGAGCAAGGAAGCCATCTGGCTTCGCTCCTTCATGCATGAACTCTTTGGTGGACCCGAGCGACCTATCCCTCTCCTTTCTGACAACCAGTCGGCAATCGCACTTGCGAAGGACGACCGCTTTCATGCGCGAACGAAGCACATTGACATACGGTACCATTTCATTCGGTACATGATCTCGGAGGGCAAGATCGAGCTATCCTACTGCCCTACGGAGGAGATGACTGCCGACATCCTTACGAAGGCCTTGCCTTCGATGAAGTGCAAACACTTCGCAGCCGCGATGGGACTGGCGAAGGTTTGAGGGGGAGTGTCGGAATGTTAGATCCGTGTAGATAGAATTGTACTAACAGAACTCACCTTAGACTCGAGGCCGATATGCGGTCCTCGTCATATGCTCGCGCCGGCGCTTATCGCCGGCTGTACATCGCCCGCCTTAGACGGTAGCCTCGAGGCTACCGTGTGCGACGTGCGCCGTCCGACGCCGTCGTATCAGATCAGTACCTGTACGTGTATAAGTAGATAGACAAAGCCAATGCTTACCTTAGAGTTTTCCTCCCGAGCTCTCCGGTCTGCGCCCCGACCCTCAAGCACCTGCGTCGCGCCGAGTCGATACTCGCCGCCGTTCCATCACGTCGTATACGCGATACGTTGATAGTCGTTACAGTCCGTTGCCAGCGGCTGCATCGCCCGCACAGCGTCGCGCAACGCGCCGGGCTTGTACAGCCGCCCGACGTCGTCCGGCGCACGCAGTGTCTCGAGGAGCCGGCCCACCGCGTCTTCCTCGTCCTCCCGAATGACGGCGAAGGTCGATCCACGCGCCCCGGCGCACCAGATGTCGTACGCAGTGTATCTGCCTACGCCGGTGTTGCCAGTGGGGGGAGGCCGTTGCGAGGGCACCGTCACCGACGACTCGGGCGAGGCGAGCGCAAAGACCATGCGTAGGACCGGGGGCGGGTCCGCCACGTCGTCGTCGAAGACACCGCACACGTACGGGTCCATGCCCTCGAACAGGTGGTTCTGCACCTCCGCCGCGAACTGCGTGTTGTTCTTCACCCGCACCGTGAGCGCGGATACCTTGGCCCGCGCCAGCACAGTGCCGGACAGAACGGGGATGATGATGTCGATGCCCGCCTGGCTGTCCGCGCAGATGTACGCCGCCCCGCGTGTCATGGCGGCTCGGAGGCGCCTCTGGTTCACCATGTCGACGCTGGTCGTCTTGACGAAGTGGTTGAAGTAGATGTAACACTCCTTGAATGCGGCTCCCAGTGGTACGTCCGCGTTCCCGGGCTTGTCACATTCGGTTGGAAGGACGTCGTTGCAAGGCTTTGCGAGGAGTGCCTTCAGGAATTGCGAAACGGTGACGATCCGCCGCTTCAGAGCACCGTCGTATCTGAGATCCTGGTGGCAGTGGCCTACAGCGTCGCTGGTCCCAGGCAGTGGTTCGTTGGCGGCGAGAGGAAATGTAGTGGCACGATCGCGGGCGTCAAGCAGCAGGACAGCGGCGACTGTTTCTCCTCGTTCGCCCAAGCTTAGCTGAGAGTTGGCGAGATGGTACGCGAGCACGGATATCGGGGCCAGGGGCATAGGCATACGTTTGGTAGAGAGCGCCACCGCCTCGCCACCCGACCACCGCCTGCTAACGAGGGCCATATACGATGCCTCCGCAAGTAACGGCTCAGATGAGCAGGTGGTCAAAACCCGCGCAAACCCGGTGCTAGCGTAAAGCAACAACCGCATGTGATCCGCCACTAGCAGTCGCTCCTTCTCGAGGTCGTCCGGAACACTGGCCTTGAACACGAGTGGAATACGCACTCCCATGCACGCCAGCAACTGATTTTGAGTCAGGTGCTCGGGAGACGTTTGCGAGTTCAATAATTTGGCTTCCGCTACGTGAACAATTTCCTCCCGTCTGCCGGTGTCGTACAATGCACCGAACCTATCACCCTCAGCATGAGCGCAATCCACCCGTGATTGTCTGTCACTCACAAGGGACGACCCAAGTGCGCCATGTACTGTGTAGACGCGACGCGTTGCAGTGTGCACTCTGGACCAGATACATGCTCGGCAAAGACATCAAATGGGGTGAGAACGATGGGTGGGAATACTTCTAATTCTCGCCCAACAATTCGACCCGACCTCTCCTGCTGGGGAAATGGTGCAAATTGTTCCACTTTACCCATAGTAGAGAGGAAGAGTGTGAATATAGGCAGAGTGCATATCATGTGGAGCGAACGCCGTAGCTCTGAGAATCTTGTCCAATCGTCGTCACGCGCCTGAGTCTTCGTGAGCATGTGAGACTCGTCAAAGCATAGTATCACGAGTGGCCTGTCGAGAGGGAACATCGATTCGGAGTTTAGGTGCTGTATCAGCTCAGTTGCGCTGTTCAGCACTGTCCGGTCATCCTGATTGACTGTGTTCTTTCAGCATTTTGAACATGTCATTAGACCCATTGCACGAACCTATCGGACTATCCTGGTTGTGCTTCCACACGGGATCCTTTGGTAAAAACTGGGCCAGATACATGTAGCGCAAGCGGCCACGAAGAGATACATACTCACCTTCTCCGCTCCTTCGACTACGGACGATAAAACCGCTGCCGATACTCGCCATGTGCACAAACTGCATCCCATCGTTCATCTTCATCCTGAACTCATTGGCCAATCGTGCGAGGGCGGTCCTCCGCACCAGTGGTCGATCTTCACGCGCATTGTCAGCTCTCCTAACATGTCCTATGCAGATCATGAGCTCACGATCGGACCCGATCATCTCCTTCTCGATAGTGATCAAACGGTCCAAAACCGTTGCAAAGAGTGAATACATGAAGGCCTGCACCCTGAGCTGGTACTGCTCCCGAGTGTCAACGCACTTTGCGAACCAGTTGTAAGCTTGAGTATCCAATGGTGGGAAAACTGTTTGACAAGGTGAATGAGGGCACGTAGCATCATGCACATCACTCACCATCTCCACCCACAGGCCCCAGTTGATCGAATGTGGAGGATCTTCTTAGCGAGCTCAT